TGAGATAGCGGACCACCACTAGCGCAGCGTCCCAGTGCTCCGTCCTCGGCTCCTGTAGAAATTGAGCCAAAGTATGAACTGCATAGGAAAGATCCGGACGAGTGACAGATAAATACACCAATCGACCGACCAAACGACGATAAGAGCCTGGATCGGTCAATGGAGAACCAGTGGCAAGGGCGAGTTTGTGATTTGGTTCCATGGGAGCTCCTAACAGGCAACATCCAAGCAATCCTGTCTCAGTAATAATGTCGAGAGCATATTTCCACTGATTAAGAAAAATGCCTGTAGAATTCCTAGCCACTTCCGATCCACACCAAGAAAATATTTTAAAGCACCCAAATCTTTTATATGGAAACATTCGGACAAGTATTTCTTGAAACGGAGAATTTCAAGAGAATTGTTTCCAGCAATGACTAAGTCATCGACATAAATGAGGACGTGAACAACTGATCCTGGCCGAGCATAGGAGAACAAGGAGTAATCAGAGTAAGATTGAGTGAAGCCATACCGACGCAAGGCAGCGGAGAGTTTCGCAAACCAACAACGAGGAGCTTGCTTGAGACCATATAAAGATTTTTGTAACTTACACACCACATTGGGAGCTTGAGGCTGAAAACCAGGAGGAAGACGCATATAGACCTCATCTGGTAAATCTCCATGAAGGAAGGCATTATGAACATCCATCTAATGTAATTCCCAATTGCGGACGGCGGCCACAGCTAAGAGCACTCGAACAGTGGTGAGCTTAACCACACGAGCAAAGGTTTCTGTATAATCGATGCCTTCTACCTGCTTGTTTCCGTGGATAACGAGTCGGGCCTTGAACCGCTCAATGCAGCCATCCGATTTTCTTTTAATACGATAGACCCACTTACATCCCAAAGCCTTTTTATGTTTAGGCAAAGGGACTAAGCGCCACGTACCATTATTTTCCAATGCATCAATTTCTTCCGCCATTGTTTTTCTCCAAGCGGGAGACTGGAACGCCTCCTTGTAAGTACGTGGTTCAGTTGTAGAATCAACTTTGGCCATATAGCTCCTGTGATGAGGCAAGAAGTGGTGATAACTAATATAATTAGTTAACGGATACTTACAAGGAGTGTTCTCCTTTGTCACAGTGTAGGTAACATAGTCGCGTAGCCGAATGTTGCTGGATTTCTGACGTTGTCCGCGGCCCATCGGAATTTCAGTCAATTGGGGAACGACAGACTGCTGCACCACGGGGTGCTGCTGTTCGGCATGTTGTTGCATGGACACATCCGGACTCATGGAGCTGCTATAGGAGTCCGAACGAGCCGCGGCTTTCGGGGGAACGAGGTCAGACCTGGGGCAGTGTGTCTGTCTGGCGAGGTGCTGGGCTGCCACTGTCCTGGGCAAGCCCTGGGCTGCCACTGTCCGGCAAGCCCCCCCTGGGTTGTACCTCGGCAGTGGTGAATTCCCTGGGTATGTGCCGCCGAGAGAAGCCCTCATCATCATCAATATAAGAATAGTCCGGAGCAGGAACAGTGTCACGAGTAGGAGCATTATCCTGAAAAGGAAATACATCCTCACAAAAAATATCACGAGAAATTATAAATTTTCCGGTGTCACGACAATATATGCGCCAACCCTTTTTTCCAAAAGGATATCCCACAAATACTCCAGGTTGGCTACGAGTCTCAAACTTATCACCACGACGGTCCTGATTATGAACATAACACACACATCCGAAGACCCGTATGTGAGACATCTCGGGTATACTCCCAAATAATAGTTCATACGGTGTTTTCCCGTCCAACAACACTGATGGGGTACGATTTATCAGATAAGCGGCAGTAAGTATACATTCTCCCCAGAATTCAATAGGCAAGAAACTTTGAAATCGCAAAGCACGAGCAACGTTCAAAATATGTTGATGTTTGCGCTCAACCCTTCCATTTTGTTGAGGAGTTCCTCGACATGAGCATTTGTGTAAAATGCCCTGTTCACGAAAGTAGGGATCAAGGCACTCAAATTCGGTGCCGTTGTCGCTTCGTACCCGTTTCAGTTTAGCGTCAAACTGACGAGCAATCATAGCACAGAACTGACGAAAAATAGTGGGCACTTCATACTTTGTATGGAGAAGATATACCCATGTTCCACGAGAAAAATCATCAACAATAGTAAGAAAAGACTTAAAACCATCCATACTTTGTGTCCGATATGGACCCCAAACATCAATGTGAATAAGCTCAAATAACTGAGTAGCCTTTTTATTGTTCAAAGGAAAACTACTACGAGTTTGTTTAGCACGTAAACAAATTGAACAAGGTTCTTTATTCAAAACAATTGCTTTACTATCACTTGCTAAGGGAAAAAGAGATAAAACTTTGGGAGACGGATGACCAGACGTCGATGCCAAAGATCAAACGAACATTCCTTTATTGTGGACAATGCACTGCCAACTAGGGACTGTTGAAAATAATACAGACCATCACTTTGCCTACCCGCACCAATCACCTGCATCGTGGCACGGTCCTGTAACACACATAATTCCTTATCGAATTTAACCAACACATTAGTGTCTTTAATCAATTGAGATACGGAGAGCAGTGAGCAATTTAAGTCAGGCACAAATAAAACATCATGTAGGATCACGGAGTCATTCAACTGTACACGGCCCGCAGTAGTAGCTTTAATTCGTTTGCCGTCCGGTAAACGAATCCAACAACCCGGGATATTATGTGTATCAAAGAGGCTATTAGAATTGCATGTCATAGGATTCGTTGCCCCGGTATCAATGATCCATGTTTTAGTATAAGGTTACCCCGTGATACCACGGAGGCCATTAAAGCCCGTATTGTGTCCCATTGAGCAGCTGTGAGGTGAGGAACTGTGGCGGCCGAATCTGCATCCTGGACACCACCATTTAAATGCGATGATGCTGCTGCTGCATGAGCAGCGTGCGCTGGTGCGCTGCCTCGACCAGAATTGGACATCCGTCCACGTCCATGCCCACGTCCGCCGCTTCCACGCCCTCGTCCGCCGCTTCCACGCCCTCGTGATCCCCAACCTTCCGGATATCCGTGCAATTGGAAGCATGTGTCCTTTTCATGTCCAGTCTTCTTACAATAGCCACAAATTATAGATTTTTCACGAGGCGTATCTGTGGGATTCGCACGAGCAGCAAATGCAGCATTCTCGGGTCTATCACGAACTTGTGCCGCCCGGGCAGTTCCCTCCTGAGTTAGCACACGGTAGACCCGAGCCGTGTTTGGAAACGGCTCTTGGGACGAAATCGTTGAACGCAGATGTCCAAATATTGCATCGTCAAGTCCCATTAGGAATTGGTGAACCTTCTCTTCATCTCTTCTTTTCTCTAAGAGTTATGCAATATTGCACGTACATTTTCCGCATGTGCATACCGGATACGGATCAATCTCATTGAGGTCGTCCCATAGCTTCTTCAATTTTCCATAGTAGGCCACAATGCTCAACCCACGTTGTTCGCAGGTTGTCAGTTCTCTTTTTTAGTTGTTGAATACGAGGGCCATTAACCACGGAAAATTGAGCCTTGATATCTTCCCACAATTCACAAGCCATTTCCATGTGTGAAATCGTGCTACGTAGAGACGATTCAATAGTGTTGCGGATCCATGAGACAATCAAAGAGTTGTTCGTCCACCAATCTTCAAGATCGGGAGAATCTTCCGATGGTTGTGGAATTGATCGGTCAACAAAACCAAACTTCTTACGTGCCCGAAGAGCGGTACGAATAGCTCATGCCCACTCTTTATAATTTTCTCCTCGCATCATAATTTGCGTTATGATTAATCCAGGGTTGTCATTCGCGTGCAGATCATACAGAGAAATAGTGCGACGCTGCGAAACATCTTCAACAACCTTCTTGGGTGTTTATTGCTTTTCTCCTGACATGCTGTACGCTCCTTGTGATTCCTCGGCGAAAGGAGCAGCTGTCGATCGTAACTTTGGAAGTTTATGGCTCTGATACCATGTTAGACTTTCAAGAATATTATGGAAAATATTTTCATATTTCTCACCTTCGAATGTACAGGCTTGGTGAATATAAATAGCTACACAAGGTAATGTCCTATACGAAGTACAAATCTACTTTACATAAATAGGCAATTAAATCTCCTAGAATATCTCTAACCATCCATGAAGAGCTCCCATCACCATCCATAAATTGTGGCACAAGATTTGCCGTAGTAAAGCAAATATTGTTATTTCCTTATTCCTCTTTATTTCCTTAACATGTTTTATTTTAATTTCTATTTCAGTTCCCCTTATTTAATTTAGATTTTGAAATTTCTAAGATTTAGGTTTACATCTGATTGATAATGCTAAATTGAAATTGAATTGGCAAGTTTTAGGAATTTAGGGTTTACCTCTGCTTGAAAATTTATTTACTTTTGTTTTATTTGTGATTAATTGAGCTGACTTTTCTGGTTTGATTAAGCAGAATTGATGTTGAATTTTGTGGTTTGCTTCAGCTTGATAACCCAAAAAATTTCAAAAAACTTAGGGTCTTTAAATTTCTTTACGACCTTTACTGCTTTGGAAAATTTATAATTGAGGTCGCGATATTGTTTTAAAATCCCAACCAAAACATATTGACATTCTTTATTTATCTCTTGTTCTTTGCTCTGTTTTTTGGAATAATGATAGTTTAATCGTAGAAGGAATAGAGGGAATTGTTTGCTACTTTGCTTTTTTCTAAGTTTTTTTTATTTGGATCCAAAATATTGTCAAACAACTTTCCGAAAGAAGGTTATGTGAACAAAATTTTTTTCTGATGGTCCATTTTCAAAGTAACTCCAATGGACATGCTTTCATTAACAATAAAATAAATCCTCTATTGTATTGAAACATAAAAAATTTCAATAGATTTAATTTTTGAAAAATTTCAAATATTTTTTTAAAAAATTTGTAGAATGATTATTACTTACTAATTTTCCTTGGTCTATTCTTATGCATTATTTTGTACTACTATTACTAGAACTACACATTTGTTTCTACTCTATATGATGGCCATCATTGGGCATGAAGTCCCCCCCCCCCCCACCCACCAAACCCCCATCGCCTCGCTCACACTTTAACACAATAATATTTTGACCACATGTGAACAAAACATGAAAACAAAAAAGAACAACAAAGAAAGGCATTTGAAGATTTTTTTGCTCTTCGTTCCTGCAATTTATTTTAACAAGGTGCAGTTCTTTTCTGTTGACACTTATAATCTCATTATGTTGTGTTTCTACAAATGTGTTTTAGTTTTGAGGAAAACACACTTTGCCAGAGCCAACATATTTTATAAAACAACCAAATATCTTGTTGAAGACGATTAGAAGATGCAATGGTGCTTCATTTTTCTCTTCATCCAAACAACGCATTTTAATCTTACATTTCTCTTGATTTTCTCCTCCATATTTTATTTGTTTGTTTTAAACTGATGTACTTTTATATAATTACAGCCATGACTTTGAAGTTTGTTTTCAAAACAAATGTGAAACACCAAGGACTGATTTTAAAAGTGAACTTCAATTTTGGTTAGGGAAATCTTTTGCATACTCTTGATGAATGTCAAAGTCATGAAAGTGATAGTTTAAAAGAGAACCAAATCTAAAGAGTTTTTGCTCACGTTGATTTTCAATACAACAAGTCCACTCCCTTTGAATGAATTTCTTCTTCATCTGTGCAGTTTCATTTGGTTTAATTTCAAGTCTACTGGCATGTATTCAGTCTAAAGTACACATCTTTTTCACCAAGGTTCCCATGACATTGGAATCTAATGTCATGGGAACCCCACCCCATCTTTTTTATCTTATTCTTTCTCACTCCATATGATTACATTGGAAGTACACTTAGACTAAGCCCCTTGTTTCATTAATCCCATATTTCTAAAATTATAGCATACTGTGCTAAGAAATCTGTATTGTCTAAAAATTTAAAGGACACTTTTAGACTAAACCCAAACCTGATTTTGAAACTTTAAGGGCTGATTTTGGAAGTGAATCACGGTTGGAATATGACTTTCAACCCCTAAGTGAAACTTTTAGAACAAGCTTTGAGAGAGAAACTGATTTTGTAGTTGATTTTCAAGAAAGAAGTGAACTTTTAGAAGCTGATTTTGAAACAGAATATCATTGTGAAGCTTATTTTTATGTGAAGAGTCACACTTTTGGGGCTACTTTTGAAAATTTAAGGGCTGACTTTCATGAGATATTTAGTACTTTAAGGGCTGCTTTTCAAAGAGAATTCTTAATTAGAAGTTAATTTCCACTATAAAATAGTGTAGGGATTGATTTTTTAAAGCAATCAAAGTTCGCATTGATTTTCAACAGAGAAGTGAAATATTAGTGGCTGGTTTTTCTATATAATATGATGTCGAAGCTGATTTTCAAGAAGAAACTGGACCATTTAAGGTGCTTTTGAAAGAGAATATGAGTTTGCAGTTACTTTTCAAAACAAATGTGAAACACCAAGGGCTGATTTTAAAGTTGAACTTGAGCAGAGTTTGTATGAAAATGGAGAAATGTCTAAAATAATACAACCCAAATCTTTTGAACAACCCAGGAACGCTGATGATATTTTGGATGAGCTGATCAGAGATTTTAAATTTAAAACACAATACTGTATACTTGAATCATTGCCAAAGGGTTTATAACTTTACTGTACATTTATGCTTCCTTTACTTCTATGGTTACCATAGTGGAATATGCACGATGTGCGTCGGTGCCTAGGTACTATATGTGTCATATGCAGCCACGTTCAGTCTAACATCTTTGTTTTTTGAACTTCATTATCATGTTTTTGGGATCATTTTTGTGTTCATGTTCGTAATAATAATCATCATTTATTTGTGTTCGATAAAACATTACAACATGGGTTATTTGATTTACACTGTGAATTTTATTCATAGAAAGTTTACCCTCCTATATACATTAGAAGTTACACTTATTCACTATCTTACTCACCGCAAGGAAAGACTGATGGTTATCTTTTCAATTCTGTTAGCCAAAACCAAATAAAATTAATTACATGTTCCGCACTATCGCTGCATGTTAAACACCTGTCCTGGAATGTCAGATATGATTGAGAAACTTGTATGTCATTGAAAACCTAAAACTTTCTCAAATTGCAATGAAAATGATACTGCAGGTTTTAGAAGTACATAAGCACCAGTGCTTCTATCCATCATAAAGGTTGTCAACAACTGCCTAATACTTTCAATAACATACTTTTACTGCCTAATTCTTTTATATACTTCCATTCTTGTGGAAGGTGTTTGCTTTGCCTGCTTTAACATCAATACTGCTCTTTACATTTCTTTTCTTCTAGTATACACTTTTACTGCTATCATTTGGTTTACACAGCCCCGCTCCGCTGTTAATAGTACTTTCATGTTTTTATTTATCCAGGACCAAGTATACTGAATAAAAGGTCAACTACAACTTAGAGAACATGGACCAATTCCTTAGTACATCCTACAGGTTTAGAATCTCTGCCGAGATGGGTGATGAAACAAAAAAACACAATTCACCCTCTTCACAGAAGATCTGAAAAAAGGAGCTAGATCGCTTGAACTAAATACACCATTGGAATTAGTTGACACCGAGAATCTGAACAAAGGACTCATCTCATTATTCATCAAAGCTGCTGTCAAGTTACAACCAACCACATACCAAAGACGAGATGAAATGTTTTCATTATTATGCCTACATCAGCTGTCTTACCAACACACAAAAAGTCCACAACTCAAGAGAAAAGAAAGAGCTACTATACAAGTCAAGATGACAAACAACTGCAGGGGAAAAGAACAAGTACAATTTCAAAGCATCTAGCTTCCATAGTGAAACTATTAGCCATGGTGAAAATGGCCTCTAAACCTTACGCAGGTCATTTTCAAATTTTGTCAAGTGGGTTTTAGCCTTAACTGCATGTAAAATCTATGTATTGTCATGCTACTTTAGCTGTTTTGTCAAATAAACTGGGTAACTACTGGTAACTTCATGTTCTCCATCTTAGTTGCTGGTATCTTAGGATATAGGTAAGGATTGGAACTATGCTTTTTTTACTCTTATCAAATGGACACCTGCTTGGGCACCCACGCACATCGTGCGTTCCCAGCTAGTATATATATATAGTGTCACGCAGATGCCCAGTAAGCAAGAAGTAGGTGAGTTTTAAATAGAGAAATAGTACCCTAGTCCCGGTGTATTTGTCCAGTTTTGATTTTTTTGAGTCAAACTGGAGACACATTGATCTCCAATTACTCTCAAATTAAACATCATATTACTATAATGATATAAAATTTTGAAAGTTTTTAATACGATAAATCTAATGAAGTCATTTTTATATTAAAATACATTATAATTTTTATTTGTTTAAAGTTCAAGGTTTATCTAGTTTAACTTAAAAAAAGGTCAAATTGGACAAATATGCTAGAACAGAGGTAGTATATAATCTGAAACTTAAAAGGGAAAAGTGGCTAGGGTGAAAATGTGATTATTAAAAAAAAGATGAGCCCCATGTCTCAAGGCTCTTTCAGATTCGACTTGAAGGTTATTGAGAAGAAGTAATTGGAATTTGATAGCAGATTAGTGGCAAAGAATGAAATCTGCACCCGTTACATGCATAGACTTTATGCTTAACATAATTGCTTCTCAAGTTATAGGAATCAGACTCAGGTCAAACGCCTTGACATTTGGGAAAAAACCAAAGTATAAGTAAAACATTGAAAATATATATATATTAAAATAAAAATTCCATATTTTTATTTTCGAAATATGAGTTAAAATTGTTACATTATCAATTATGACCATGTATATATATTACGTAAATGCACATGCACAATGCCTCATTACCGCATAACTTTTATTTTTGTTACTTTATCTATGTTTTAGTCCTATTATTTAACATTATTTGTTTTGGTAATTTTTGCCTTTGACAATTGCACAACGTCTATCAATGTCATTATTTTAATTTATTGAGAGGAATGTGTATTAATTTTAATTGATGAAATGGCATGATGGCCATCACCAATTTAGGGGCCACACCCCATTACTAATGGTCTTAGGATGATCCATCGAGATCATCCTTTTGGGAAAGTGGATTATATAAGCTGTGTTAACTTGTAGAAGTACTCTCCCATCCAAAATTATTGTCGCGTACAGTAACGCGAAATAAAAATAATGGAGACGACGATGGAGGAAAAATCCTCCATGGAAGTGGAGCAACAGCTAATAAAAGAAGTTTCTTCTTCTTCGTCTTCATCGTCTTCGTCCATATGGAAGATGGTAGCCGTGGCATCCATAGCTACGGGACTCCAGTTCGGGTGGGCCCTACAGTTCTCCCTCCTCACCCCGTACGTCCAGCTCCTGGGAGTCCCCCACAAGTTCGCCTCCTTCATGTGGCTCTGCGGCCCCATCTCCGGCATAGTCGTCCAGCCCCTGGCCGGCCACTACAGCGACAACTGCACCTCCCGCTTCGGCCGCCGCCGCCCCTTCATTGCTTCCGGCGCCTTGCTCGTCGTTCTCGCCGTCTTCCTCATCGGATTCGCCGCCGACATCGGCCACGCTGCCGGCGACCGCCTCGGCAAAACCACCAAGCCCCGCGCCATTACTGTTTTTGTCATCGGTTTTTGGACGCTCGATGTCGCCAATAACACGCTACAGGTACGCACGTATACTTCTCAAAAAAAGAAATACTCCTTCCGTCCCTGGTCTTTGTCCACTTTCATTTTTGCACATCATTCAATGCACTTCTTTAATCTATTTTATCTTGTAATTTGTATATTAAAAAATTATAAAAATTATATATTAATAATCTACGGAGTATATGTTAAGACGAATCAAACAAGATCACACATGACTATTTTTAGGCGTACACATTGAGAGAATTTGATGTGTCAAAGTGCTTAGATGAACAGTTTTAAAAGTCAAAAGTGGACAAACACCCAGGGACGGACCAAGTAAATACTTCCTGACAGGGAAGAGGTAAAACTTTGACTTAGGTGAAATGGCCATAATTGAAATTAGTGTTACTCGAAAATTGCGAAAATTGGTAGGGAGTAGACAAGGTAAGTTGGGTTAGAATTAAGTAAACTAAGCCTAATTGTGTCTATTAAACCTAAATTGAAATGTGTTATGGGATATAAAAGATGAAAAAGTTAAAAAGTTGTACGCGAGGGAAGAAGTAAAAGTACTTCGTAGTTCTAAAAATAACTTCCCTCTTTAGTTAATGAGATTTGATCAAATCGATTTAATTTTCAAATAAAGGGGAAGTGTGTTGTTGGAAGTAGAAAAAATGAACTACTCCCTCCGTTCCTGAAAACCTTTCTCCTTTCTATTTTCATCCGTCCCAAAAAACACTTCTCATTTCTATTAAAAAGTCACTTTTATCCTTTATTTTTTCATACCCTAACTATCACATCATACCTTTTTACTAATAATCTATCCATCAAATCATACCTTTACCCATCACATCAAAAGACATTTTTGGAAATTCAATACCAAAATACAATACTCTTAAATCCCTTTTCAAAATCAAAACTCCCATGTTTTCAGGGACGGATGGAGTATAATTTAACACTTCCTTATTTTTGCCCCCAAATCAAATGGGAAGTGTTTTTCCAAATGGAGGGAGTATATACACTTAAAACACTACATCATAAGTTTTACAAAATTAAAAGTGACATATTGATTATGTTATTTTATCAAATGATTAATGAAATAGATAAAGAAAGCATTTAAAGTTTATCTGTGTATGTGAATAATAATAATTATAATAGAATTATAATTTTAAGATGACGGAGTACATCACAAATAGTATCAAAGTATTTTATGGATAATTTTGTATATAGATAATAATTACTCTCATCATCCGGAAATATTCTTCTAATTTGACTTTTCATAGTCTTTAATGGGGTGCTTTGACCATTAATATCTATATTAATACATAGATATATTTTTAAAAAAATTAATATTTGAAAACTACGTTCCAATAGGAATATATTGATATTAAACTTATATCTTAATACAATCTATATATATATATATATATATATATATATATATATATATATATATATATATATAGGATATAATAATGATATATAAAACCCGTGTTCCCGCTATGTGGCGGCTATTGTGGTGGCGGTGTGGTGGCTGCAACGGCAGTGGTGGTGGCAATAGATGGCGATGGCACAACTAAGTTTCTATTTATAGATTTTCAATTAGGAACATGATTTTGTAATTGGAGGGAAACTTTGCAAGTTTGGTAAACTTCTGGCGGTATTCAGGGAGTGTCATGTCTCCCTGTTGCAGTTCGCAAATTTGGATAATTTTTTGATGAGTTTAAAATTTGGCCAAAAAATGTGAGCAACATCAACTCAAGAACGCAGGGGGGAAACACACGAGAATAAAGCAGCGGCCAAGCCGCTGCTACGGCGGGTGCCCACAGGTTAAGCGTTGATGGAGGATTTACTGTGCTAGAGAGCATCGGGTAGCGTATCTGAAGCTTAGCGTTAATGGCTTTAGTTACCCTTAGATGCTTACTTTTGCGTAGAAAGGGAGGATCCGGGCCGGATTTGGGTCGGGCTTGATATAAATTATGAGCCCATTTACATGGGCGGGCTTGGCAGGTGACCTGCGCAAGAACGGCCGAATGGATCGGCCACGAAGGAGGCTGCGCGATGGATTCCCGATAGGCAATTCCCGATGACACGAGTTTTGTAGAAATAACTCTCAGGCCCCTCTATTTTCAAAAAGACAACAGAGATCAGATCTAGAACATAAATATCATGGATCAAGTCGTCAAAGCAATGATAAATTTTTGTGAAATAAAAAAACAACATTTGTCCTTTATCGTGAAGAAAGCACCAACACTTCTCTAACCGATTATTACAGGTGATGCAGCTACATTCATCAAGCAAAAGCATCTTCTCTAACCTATTACTACAGATGATACCACTTCATTCATTTAAAAGACGACGCAGGCTAGGTTTTCTACCATAGCTGGCTGGATTGCAGTGGCTGTGAGCAGAGGGCCATCGAACAGAAAGTCAAAACTGGACGAATACTCCGGGACGGAGGGAGTATATACTACAATTAGATCAGGTGAAGAGAACATGGCCTTCGTGGTACAGCAGTAGATACGATTTTGCTGTAGAGTCACACTCACCAAACAGGCCCCAAATTCAAACACAAAGCCAATTCCTCAACAATAGATCTGAAAGGGAGTTCACAGTGGGCCAGTGGGCATATCTCAAACCACAAAGCTACCAGGGGAAGGTTCCCATGACATTGGTTCCCATTGTCATGGGATGACCCAGGGGCGGATAAATTCCATCCGTAAGATAGTATCCACGCTTGTAAAAGCGCTCACCAACATAAAAGGAGCTATTCGCCGCCGTTCCATTTCGCTTACTCTGTTATAAAAGACCAATTATAGAATTTACTCAATCTAGAAGTATACTACGTACAAAAAAAAAATAATGATGGGGTCCACACTGCAAAATATATTCAATAATCGGGTGTACGGGAAGAACCGTACAGCCGGTAAAAATTAGCAGAAGAGCAACGCGTCGACCGAAAAACAAAGGGAATACAGATTTCATATTCAAGCTAACCGAGTAGGGAGAGTTTTATGAACCAATTATACGTAATCTGACTACAATATTCATTGTTGCGTATAAATTTCCTATATTTTTTTGCTGGAGATCATCTACGCCAATAAGGCTATCTTGCAAGGGCCAACTCAACGGTGCTACAAGTGTTGTAGTTTAACCATCTATTTTTATGCATTTCATGTTTATCTTCTGTTTTATCTAGTTCTGAAATAATGTCTTTCCGTCCCATTGGTTGTTGTTGAGTGCTCGGGTTTGGTACACTGATGGGCACTGGTTAAGAATTTTCTGTTAGCCTAATTCCGCCCGTTAAGTATTTTGTCCCAGCTCATTATCCACCAGTCCTTTTCCACCCGGGTTTCAGCCTGGGCCCTTGTCACTTCTCTAGCGGTGCACTCGACTTGAAAGTCGGCGAGTGCTTGCCCTGTTAGCCTAATTCCGCCCGTTAAGTATTTTGTCCCAGGGTTCCCTGGTTCATTATTGGCTTCACATTTAAGGGGTGATTTGCACAATTTGTGGGATTTGATTAAATTTGGATCTGCTGAAGTTCACCCAGACAGCACTGTCGGGTGGGGGCGGAAGTCTCCTCAATAGATCCACATCGTTAGCCTTGGTTGCGAAATTGATTCCTTCCTTATCTTCAATTAGCTGACTATCCATTTGCGGTTTGAACCGTCGGGGATAAGGGCTCCGAAATTATACTAGCAAGAAAGGTAATAATCAAAAAATGTAATAATTGACCTCGATATTAATTTTATATATATATATATATATATATATATATATATATATATATATATATATGATCAAATGGCGATAAGGTATCAGGGTAGAGAGAGGTTCCTAAATGCGGCATATATATATATATATATATATATATATATATATATATATATATATATATATATATATATATATATATATATATATATATATATATATATATATATATATATATATATATATATATATATATATAAAATCAATTGGATCAGAAAATCATGCTTCTATGGACTAATAGCCAATGATCAAGACAACAAACAAGTTTGGCTAGCTCAACAGGGTCTTCTTTCCCCGCTGATTCTGCCCTTTGGAACTCAAACGCTGGAGGTTTCTGTTTCAGAGTTATCTCCCAAGGATTTTGCTGATATTGGGACTGCTTCCTCTCAATTGTCAAAGGGATTGAGAATGCGAATTTATGAAAGAAATAAGAATGAATCTGGTGTTTTAGATTGTGAGATCTGACTCCCAACAGTCATGCCTTCCCATCGATGGTTAAGCCTTCCCATCGCTGGGTTCCCATCGATGGGTAAAGCTTCCCATCGCTGGGTAAGGGCTGAGTACCAGGTTTCAAATGGGGCAGTTCGATACAAGATTTTATTCTCTCATATTTTCACAGCAACACTGCAATTGGCATGGTTCATGAAAAATTGGTCACCGGGTGACATATATATATATATATGTATGTATGTAAAGTTGGGTTTCTTTCTTTGAATGTTGACATGTGGCATGCCACATGTGCATCCACATGTGCAATCATTAATGAGATGGATGAATTTCATTGGTCCATTAGATTATTTAAAAATATATTTTAACACATTTTATTATATTACATTCAATCAATATTATATTTTAGTATTAAAAAACACTACTTTAATTATACTTAGTATAACAAATATCATTTTTTTACAATTTTATAAATATAAATAAATAAATATATAAATATAAATATATAAATATAAATATAAATATAAATATAAATATAAATATAAATATAAATATATATATATATATATATATATATATATATATATATATATATATATATATATATATATATATATATATAGGGGCCGGTTCCCGTGAGAATGCACCTTGTGGAGAGAAATGAGAATAAAATCTAGCCGTCGGATTTGATGCATTGTGCGGCTCAGATTGCATCCTGCGCTCAGATTTTGAGATAGTGCATTTTCGAAGGTTTATGATGCATTTCAACGTGATGCATTTTCGCACCATTTTGGTGCATCTAATTTTGATGAAATCTTGACC